CAATCCAGATGTGAATATACTGAAGTATACGCCAATGCTACCCTAGCTCCAGAATTCGACTTGATTGAACAGATTTTTCAGACCCTTCAGATTCCTTTCCTCACATACTCCTTCTCTTGGGTGAAAGGCCATCAGGATGACAATGTTGACTTTGATCGCCTCCCTCTGACAGCCCAACTGAATGTTGAAGCCGATGGTTACGCTGGAGATTATCAAGCCCAGATGACTACGCCAAATCTTATTACACCAGTGCTACCTTCTTGCCCCACAGTTCTCCAGATCCAGTCTCGCTCCGTGACCAGTCAGTATAAGAAAGCGCTTACAGATTCTTGTTTAATACCCCGATATCATACATACCTGAGAGAGAAGAATCAGTGGACTCAGCACGTTATTGCGGATATTGCCTGGAAGTCTCTGAGCATTGCTATCCACCGGATCTCTAGGGACGTGTTGATCACTAAATGTTGCAACAATATTTTGCCTACCGCCACAGTTCTTAAACGATGGAACTACCAACGGCAGGATACCTGTTGTCTTTGCCAGTCACCTGAAGACTCCGAACATCTTTTTCGCTGCTCCCACCCTACACGTATCAGCTGGCGGAGGCAGTCTATCACCTCTTTATGACAACGAATGTCCACACTTGGCTTCCGACCGATTGTCATTGATACTCTTGCTACTTGTCTTACTGAATGGTTCGACACTGGCACTGTTTCTTCTGAGAAATATCCTCCGTCCCTTCATCCTGTTATTCATTTTCAGAGTGAGATTGGTTGGCACCATATGTTTRCTGGTCACATTTCGCTCCAGTGGTTTACCGATCTTGATCTTCATTCCGGTTCTTACTCCCCGCTAGTGTTAGGGGGTTACCTCACGGAGTTCTTTCTTACCTCCCATATATCTTTATGGGAACAGCGAAATCAGGATCTCCATGGTCATACGCTTTCGCAGAAACAAGCAACTTTTCGACGGCACGTGGTGACAAAGGTTCGAACCTTGTTTGCATTGAAATCACAAACTTGTCCGTCTCACAGACATTTGTTCCCTGATGATACGGAAGCATGCAATGGATACGTATGTACCGGATAGGATACGTACGTATACAATACGAAGGTCCGAAGAAATGAATGAAGGATCATACCATTCCTACGTACCTATCGTAAGGTATGCTTCNGCCTTCAATGCAGCTACCAAAAATGGAGCTTTGGGAGGATTTCCTTTTGGAGGTATGTCAAAAACTTCTTTGTCATCTAGAGAAGCATTGTCCTCGACTTCAATAGTCCGATTCATTCTCTGGCTATTCTCTAGAATTAATTCCATAACCTCGAGTTGGTTTTGCATTTTTTCCACCGTATCGTTTAAGGCACATATTGTCCTTTCTTTTTTTTCCAGCTGTTGTGAAAGATTTTGAATCACAAGGTCTTTCTCATCGACTTCAACGACATCATTATTCCCGTCAATCAGTTTTCGCTTGGACTTCTTTTTCTTGCCACTACGATGCGAGCGATCATCTTTCTTATCATCGCCATCGTTGCTCTTATTCTGACTACTCCCTTCGAACTCCGACGTATCCCTTTGTCTTCGACCGGGATCCTTTTTGCTAGATTTTTTGTAGTCTGTGCTCTGCAACCCTACTTCGTTATCGGCACGCACGCTCTTCTCTTCGGTGGACGGGGCCCTAGCTTGTAATGCGTCTTCTTCTTGGTTGATGTTCCGATATTTCTTCTTCGTGGATAGAGTGCCTGATAGCGATGAACCATCTTCACTTAGGTCATCCTTCCGAAGTTTCGTTTTTGGAGACACGTTTTTAGCTACAATTACTTCATCTTCGCGTTGATTATTTTTCGACGCGCCTTTAATTTTCCTGCCAGCTATTATGCTTTCATGACTGCTATTTTTGGTAAAAGTCTTCGAGTCTTCTGCGTTGAGTTTTCTTTCCTGGACGAGGTTCTTCGGGCTCGATTCATTTGATCCGAATTCGGCTTCATCTTCACTGCCGTTTGAGTTATTCGTCTTCACAAGATTTTTTAAAGACAGACTTTTCAACCATTTCCGAACCATCGTTGTTCTTCTTGAAATTATTCGTTGAGCGGAATGCCTACAGTAGCTTTTCGAATCGGAGCTCTATTGCTTTCAATTCAAATGCCACAGGTCGGATGATTCGAGGTGCGTAATCCTTTTCAGGACTTTTTCAGGATAATAGTTATCTGCTGATTAGATCTAGACTTATTGGTGCGTTTGGTTGAGATACACCTCTGTTCAGCAGCTGGCATGCGGCTGTCGGGAGACCCGGTAATCGCCAAGCATCCTGGAGACAACGAAGTTTTACCCGCGGTACGAGTAAGGTGTAACACTGTTACATCCTGACTAGACGGCGTTGCCGGCTATGACTTAATTGAAAGGGAAAATTATTGTATTACCCCCTGGGAACAGGAACAACGACTACGATACTTAAGTTATGGATCTCTTTATTGTTATTAATTATCGGAAACATAAGGGCATTAAATAGATTTTATATCGAAGTAGAAACTTAATAAGCCATAATAAAGCATTGCAACTGAGTACGTACTGCACTTAGAAAATCGCTAGCTCCAACAGGTCATTGCTTATTTTTCCTTATCGATTAATACTACATACTTCGTACTGGTACGTACTCGAGTACAGGGGTCATATATTTTACAGGGGTGTTGTGTGCTGTGCGAAACGCTCAAAAATTCTTTTTCCATACTCGCTATGTTACTTGATTTTWAAAATGTAAAATAGAAAATAGTACAAAATGATTCCATTTGCTGCTGAAAAAAATAACTGCAATAATATATTCAGATTCCTCATTACTACGGATATCATAACAAGTGATCGCCACACTAAGAAATTGGTTCCCATCGTTGCAATCGTTATTTTAATGATGCAATCCTTAATTTTTTCAGTACAAATTCTACAGAGCTCTACTGAGAGTTGCTCCCCAAAATTTTCAGCATGTTTTGCCTTCTGACGAGAAAGAAGCTGGATTGGTTCTCCGCCACCAGAATAGTTGCAAACTACCTCAGTACATTTTGTACTGTGTTCTACTGGGCTAAGGATGGTGCAACGGATACTGTACGTACGTATACGATACGAAGCTCCGAAGAAATAAATGAAGGATCATACCATTCCTACGTACCTATCATAAGGTATGCTTCCTATGTATGTATCATAGGATGCATCATAAGAGGACCAAACACTGAACACGTAAGAGGTCCGAGGATCGTAAGAGGTCTACGATATCAGAAATAGAATACCTCGCACGKAACAAAGATGTCAGTAGATCAGAATAATAAGAACTCTGTGTAGATTTAGTACCGAGAGCTACACAGGATCTAATCAGATCTACTGAAAGCTCAAGTCTGAGCGCGAGAATCTTAATCTTATATCTAATCTTATAATCTCAATTTTCATACACACTTAACACCTACTAAGAGYACACGTAATCTCGTGCACAGTAATTACTGAGTGATTTTCGTGTAAAAACAACCAAAATACCACACCGACCATGGTGAACCCAAAGAAGAACTCTTCACGAAATCAACATTCACATCAATGGTGTCTTACCCTCGACAACCAATTCAAGAAGAGTGACCTTGAAAGGGTCAACATCTTTGTTGACCGCCCAGCAAGGACAGAGACAATAGCAGAAATAAGAGGAAATAATCAAAGAACAAGGGAGATTCCTGCGTTTAGAAAGAAAAGAAGCTGTGTGGTCTTCTCCGGACAATATGGAGTACAGGAACTATTCCATGTGCAGGAAGCCTTTGAGGATGCAGCGAGAGACTTGAAGCTAGAGGACGATGAAATCGACGAGAACTGGCTCACAGTCTTGGCACACAGGCCGAGACAAAACTGGAACAACATGTGGAATGGTCCCGACCGATTG